CCACATTTCCTGTAGTCAGAGTTGGAGGCTCTTTCCCACCCATGGTCTCTCTGAGCCTCTGAATTATAGATCCTATATAACAAATTACTGATCTTGTGCAAACTGGAACCCCTCACCCCACATGGATGATAACCCCTTAGTACTTCTAAACTGCATGTAAATTGTCCCCTTTAATGAGACCACAACCCAAATAACAGGGAAACATACCTGCCTTCCAGGACCCAACCTTGGCAGCCTGTACATTTATTGATTGCAATAGGCACGGTATTTGCATTGTCTGTTCTGACATGGCTTGCCCCATTAGACTACAGTTGACTAAAGATACATCTTTACTTGCATGCAGGCGCACACATTAAGCTATAGCCTTGTTTGCTACTGGGGCATGTAGGTTACAAATGGGCCTTCTGGATATCCACTGTGTCATAGGCTCTTGTATAGGTTATTTTGTGGATTATCTGGTTCTGCAGTAGGCACATGTTAAGACTTAAAGCTAGTTGTTCCTAAAATGGGTTGACGATGAACTCCAGCCTTCTCTTCAGTTTACACAATTGTACAGGCTACTCTCCTATACTGAAATTGCTTACTCTGATTTTATTGCACACTTTTGAGCATCTCATAGTGTGCATTAACACTGTAGCAAGTGAGATAGAGCCCATTTCATTTCCAGGACATCCAGATCATCTAGCACTTGCCTCCCAAACCTGACTGTCCCTGGCCCCTCCCTTTTATTTTTTGGATTTTAGCTATTTCAGTTTTGGAGGATCAGTATCATGTGGGCATTACCTAGGGTGAACTGCATGGAAGCCTGCCTAGGAATGTTTTTAGGAAGCTATGTATAGCACCCTGCTGGCCCCTCCCTTTAGCCATGATCTGCTTGCATTACATAGAAAGGTATACAAACCTAGTGATGAGATCACTGGGTCTAAAATAAGGTATGTAATGAAGATAGGTTTTATTTACATATTTCATCAGCATATTGATGAAGAGAAAAGGGAGGAACCAGGGAAGGCAAAATATAAGCAGATTAAACTTCAGCGTTGTTATCAACATTGATATGTATAGGTTTATATATGATTTTTACTTAAAGTGGTTATAAATGCAAAAGGTTTTTTAACTCTTTATTTCTTTATCTCTGTGTTAAGGTCCTTTCCAAAGCTGCACCCTCAGCCCCCCTAAAACAATTACTTGAGCCTGATCTTGATACAGCGCTGTGCCCATCTGCAGCTGCTCTTCTCAATCCTTTCTCACAGGAGACTCGGCAGCAGCGGAAGCCATTGGTTCCTGCTGCTGTCAGTTAGACCAGGGGGGAAGTCAGGGTTGATCTGCTCTATGTGTGTTTATGGATGCACACAGCCCAACTTGGGACTGATCCCGCACGATTGTCCCCATGGCAAGCTATGGGAGCAGTCGGAGAAGAGAAGAAGCCAAGATTGCCAGCAGAGGACCCCAGAAGAGAAGAATCGGGGCTGCTCTGTGCAAAACCATTGCACAGAGCAGGTAAGTATAACACATTTGTTTTTTTCAGAAAAAAAATAAGCTTTATAACCACTTTAAGGTGACAAGGTTGAAAAAACTGATATCAAGTCCATCCTTTTCCAAATCCTGCAGCCTAGGTGCAGAGGAAGGCAAAACAAACTGGGCAATTGTGACAAATATTGGCACACATTTTGGCCAACTATTTAACCCCTTAAAGTAGAACTAGAGGCAAAACTTTTTTTTTCACTTTGGATAGAGTAAGGATATAGTCAGTTCATTTTCTGTGTTCCGTTAAAATCCCCATAGCAAAAACAAGAAGTGAGAGGAAATCCCTGCAAATTAAGGGGATCCCATCTAAGTCACCAGAACTAGTGTCCCCATTGGAAGATTTCTCCTCTATTACTTTTCTAGGGACAACCCAAAATGTGGGATTTCTTTTACTTTCACTTTCAGTGATAATGGTAAACAGGACAAATCGAGGTGATGAATCTCCCTAACCAGCGTACAGAAAGCAATAAGCACTGACAGGTGTTCTAAACCATCTCCACTCTATCCAAAATGAAAAAAAAAAGTTTTGCCTTTAGTTGTACTTTAAAAGCAGTAAGATCTCAGCCGTTCGTAATTTAACCCTGAAAATTGTTTTAGATTTTTTTAAAAAAAACATGTCAACTGATGGAAAAATCTTTTTTTCATGTGTAACTGAACTCCTGAATTACAGTACAGTCCTACAACCTTTCATACCACAAGTACAGTCCTACAAAAATTTCACATCTCCATATCCCTAAGATTGCTTAATTAATATTTCATGATTATGTAATTACTAGTACAAATATTCATGATTTCCCCATCATCCTTCTAGGCAGTCCTTTTTTTTACTGTTCATGCAAGGGTGATATCTGTATGCACATATATTGAATCTCTGAAAGAACAGTGTTATCACTCTAGGACAGGAAGTGTGTTAGGACTACCGAACACTCCCCTTTCCTCCCTTGCCTCATCTCTATAACATAGAGCATTCTGTAGTTCATAGAGCTAAACTGGGCAGAGCCAGTAATTTTACTCAAAATTACACTGCAGAGGAGACAGAAACTTGAGCAGGGATGAGCTCACACATGTTCATACACGAGTCTGCACCGGGCTGAGCTATCCCGCCAGGAAGCTGTCAAAGCAGACAGCCAATCATAGGCAGCAGAGGTGTTCGCCATCCCACAGCTGCACGTATGCATGCCCCTTGTATATGAGAGACTGCGGGGACTGACATGCCTCTGCCACCTATGATTGACTGTCTGCTTTGACAGCTTCCTGGCGATATAGCTCAGCTGAGTGCTGATTTGTGTCTGAACATGCCTGATCTCATCCCTGCTTGTGAGTTCACTGGATTTCTGACAGGATCAACATATTTGTGCACATATTGAACAGATATAATGAAACATTTTCAATGCTAAATTTAAAAGGGAAAAACAAGTGTTTGTTTTTGGGGATTACATACACTTTAAATCTCTCAGAAACAACTTGATTTCATTGTCAGTGTAGTTCTAGCCTTGTAATATATTTGTGCACAGCGACCGAGTTGTTATTCTCGAGATAACGATGCATCTCTTGGAATGGCAAAATAGGACTTAAACTTGTGCGTTGTGAGATCATTTAGAGTCTCACTTTAAATAAAGGTCTAAATCAATCCTTTTTTTCCCCAAATCTTAGCTGAAAATATAAAAAATGTGAAATGTAATTGCTACACCGTTAGCAATATGTTTCTCTCTAATTTGCTGTTGTCTTGGAACCTAGCTGTTTATGCAGTACTTTCACCTTCTGCTGCTTGTGTCTGTGCCAGCTTCTCTCCCTAAGGTGTACAATGAGTAATGCTTTGGTCTCCTGCCAGATCATTCTATAAATGTCACTTTATTTGCATCTTTTCAAGAATTCTTACAGTATTTAAATGAAATAAGCACATCTGCATTTCCCCTTCTACCCCCCACCCCCCCCACACATTTTCTCTTTTTTTTTGTTTTATAAATAAAATATCTGAATGCATTATAATTTTCATTTAAATCAACATTTAATTGCATACAGAGCTCTTTGATATGAAAATAAATGAAAACAACAAATTTGTGGTGAATATTTTTATTGAGGCTTATTTTGGTTTATGTAGGAAATCATTAAGTGTCCATGTTGTTTTTGGCTACACCAACTGGCCTGTGCTGATCTCAATCTTCTAGCAAAAAGGGCTGGGAAATCTTGGCTGGTGTTTTTGAGCTACAGTAATCCATTCATCACAAAGTGCCATCATTACATCCATGTGAGTTTAGCCCAGGGGTGGACTGACCATTTAGCCACTCAGGCACTGCCCGAGGGCCCGGGGTCAGTAGGGGGCCCCATGAGATGCCCCTGGTACCTTTCATAGGCTTTTTTGGGTGTAGTTTGAGTGTGGGTGAGGACACAGGGGCCCCATGATTTCCTATTGCCCAGGGGACCCATGAGTTGTCAGTCCGCCCCTAGCCACATAGTATGACTTACTATGCATATCCCATCAAAATGTTAAGGTGAATTTTATTGCCGTTTTGCCGTTCCTCCCATCATTTTTGCCCATCAACATGCTAATCCAGTATCCTAATCGCACAGTACAGGATGCAGGCTGGATACTGTATTCATAGATCCTGGGTTATAGGCTGCTATCTTCAGTGATTTGACACTGGAAAAGCTTTTGGACTCTAACTTCCCCCCTTCCCCCGTGGGTGTACCCCTATAACCCTATCACTCTGTGGGTCTTCAGATTTTGAGAGAGTCCTGTAGGTTATGAATCTCTTCTCCCGTTTATAGACCCAATGATGTAATCACTGGGCCTCTCTCCTTTTCAGTTCAATGCAGGAGGATCATGGCCAGTGGAAAGGGCCTGTAAGTGGCTGTATCTACTGCTCCTCGCTGGCGGCTGCCCCTTGCTATTGCTATGTGACCATCTGAATGTAGCCTGAACTTGCAAGTTAAACTTTAAAGAAACTGTAAGAAGTATGGGGACAACCATAACCAAATATATCCAGAGTTGCCCTTTTGATAAAATTTAAGACAATTGTTTCCTCTAGAGCACAGTAAAAGATACCTCTATAAAGCCTTATTTAAAGGAGCACAATTATTTTTTCCCTGGTTTAACTCCAAACTGATGAAAGGTGAAATCTAGTTGAGTCTGTGTTACTTTGCTCTGCATATTACTATTGTCACTGTAATAAAAATAACCTATCATAAAAGAAACCTAGGATTCAGAAGATTTAAGCTGCCTGGCTTTCCCTGTTTTAATGCTTCCTAAATCACTGACTTAAGAGAAGTGTGCAGCATGTAAAGCCAAAGAGTAGAACTTCCTGAGGTCAATGACTCAAAGTATTAAAACCACAGGATCAGTATTTCGCACATTTGCTTTTAACTTCTATTTCAGATATAAGTGGACACCTCCCTTATGATACATACGGAAGCCTCTTTGTCATTTGCATCCATCAGAAAGCCACTCTATCTTACATGAATATGTGCTCTCTCTGCAGATTTCAAAACAAAACATACGTTGTGGTTGGAGGCATGAAGACCATCATGGTTAATATCTCATTGTTCAATGCTGGTGACGATGCCTATCAATCCAATCTACAAATGAGACTACCCCGAGGACTTTTCTTCACCAAAGTTTTGGACCTGGTAATACACTTCTACAACTCTGCGATATGGTTTGAATGCTCATTTAGTCTTTGGAATAAATATATAGGTGGGATGTAGTTTTGGAATGTGATATAGGACAAGAGTAGTGGAACCAGCAGCAGATACCATCGCTCCATACACTCACTCCTTCTTGATCCTTCAGTATGTATTTGGTGCCACTCAAGAGGGTGTCCCTCCTTTGGCAACCATGTACGAGGAATGAAAAGACCACACTCTAAGGAACGTCACAATGTTTAGAAACATTTTATTTCAATAACACAAATTTATGGCATGTCTTTCTACCTGTCATCCACATACTCCATCGCATTTCACCTGAACAGGGCTTAAGCATGTACCAGTGATAAAGCCCTTTGCTGGTGAAATGTATCGTAATGGTGACAACAAATGAAGAAGTCTGGGCAATGTGCACTGACAGGGCCACTTGTAGCCTCCATTGGGAGATCACGTGACAGGGTGACAACACAGGGAGACAGGTACAGAGTGCAGTCCCTCTATAACAGAATTTGACTGAACTTCATTTTAATGAAAGCCGCAACTTTCAAAAACAAATTGAAAGTTACTTTTGAAATTGCTTTAATGGGTTTAGGTTTATATATGATTTTGATGCTCTGGAGGCAGAACCAGTTTATGCCTCCATAAAAATCAGAGTGTTTTAATATTTACCTGCCACCAAGAACTTTGCAGAAAGTAACATACAACGTCACTCTATAACTTCTTTTTAAAACTTGTATGTGTCTTTTTTAATGCCAGCTGGAGAAACAGATAAACTGTGCCATTTATGAAGAAGAAAATCAGTTGACAAGATTGGACTGTACCATTGGTCATCTGTATGTTGACTCTCTGTCAAAGGTATGTGGAGAATTATGGGTGGAAGATAAGCTTTATTACCAGGAGGCAAGTGTATTGGCTCATGTACCATAATTTTTATGATCATAAAGTCCTCCCACAACTAAACAGAACATGTGCTAGGTAGATACTCTAAATATAGTCTTTATATGGGAAATAGATGGAAATGCATAAAACTAGGATGTCTTGACAACCAGAACAAACTTGTTGTAAGTCTAGGCAAACCAGAGGAGCAACAGCTCCATATTTAATGCTTCTCAGCAAGGTTTAGAGCAGTGGTCACCAAATGGTGGACCGCAGTCCGAGAGTGGCCCCAGCAGCACTCCCTTCTGGACTGCCAGCCCGCCAGCCCTCAATGACAGATCTGCCGCTGAGCAGGGCGGTCGTCCTGGCAACATGACATCATGTGTGCGCCCTGTCCCTTGCAGCTCACTGTGTCTCCGGCTCCCCCACTCTAATGGGCACATATTTATGTTAAGGGGTACTCTAATGGGCACATTTTATGGGCACTCTGATGGGCCCATTTTATGTTAGGGGCACTCTGATGGGCCCATTTTATGTTAAGGGGCACTCTGATGGGCCCATTTTATGTTAAGGGGCACTCTGATGGGCAAAATTTATGTTAAGGAGCACTCTGATGGGCACAATATAGAATGTGTCCGTCAGAGTGCACCTTAGCATAAAATGTGCTTATCAGAGTGTCCCTTAACATAAAATGTACCCATCAGAGTGCCCTTTAATATAAATGTGCCCATCAGCATGCCCCTTATTTTATGTAAAGGGACAGTCTGATGAGAACATTTTTTGTTAAGGAGCACTCTGCTGGGCACATTTTATGTTAAGGGGCACTCTGACGGGCCCCATGTTAAGGGGCACTCATGGGCCCATTTCATGTTAAGGGCACTGGGCATATTTTATGTTAAGGGGCACTCTGACGGGCCCATTTTATGTTAAGGGGCACTCTGACGGGCCCATTTTATGTTAAGGGGCACTCTGACGAGCCCATTTTATGTTAAGGGGCACTCTGACGGGCCCATTTTATGTTAAGGGGCACTCTGACGGGCCCCATTTTATGTTAAGGGGCACTCTGACGGGCCCATTTTATGTTAAGGGGCACTCTGACGGGCCCATTTTATGTTAAGGGGCACTCTGACTTGTACATTTTATGTTAAGGGTCACTCTGATTGGTACATTTTATGTTAAGGGGGCAAAAAAGGGCACATACTGTGGAAAGGGGCACTCTGATGGGCACAGTCTGATTGATTGGAATGGGCACTCTGATGGGCAATATTATGTAAAAGGGCACTCTGATGGGGAAATATGATGGAAAGGGGTACTTTAAGTGTAAGGGGGCACTCTGACTGAAATACCTGATGTAAGGTGGCACTGTGATGGGAATACCTGATGTAAAGGAGCACTCTAATGGGCACATTCTGATGGGCACACCGGATATGATGGGAATACATGATGTAAAGTTGCACTCTGACGGCGACACCTAATGTAAGGGGGCACACCCTATGTAAGGTGTCTCCGTGATGAGGGAACCTTATATAATGGAGCACTTTAGTGGGGACAACTGATGTAGGGGGGGAACACTGATGGGAGACACCAAATGTAAGGGGTCCTTCTGATGCAGAAACCTGATGTAAGGGGGCACTCTGATGGGAATGCCTGATGTAAGGGGGCACTCTGATGGGAACACATTACTTAAGGGGGCAATCTGATGGGGACGTCTGATATAGGGGGGTACTCTGACGGTGGCAACTGATTTATGGGGGAAACAAAAAGATGAGCTGTGTGAAAAAATCAACCAAATCCCACTGTCCGCTTCAACGGCAACAAAAAAGACTGAAATATTAACATAGGATGTATTGGCACAGCTTGATGCAGCTATTCAGAGTGCAGTATGCGTCTCTTTAGCCATCGATAAATCAACAGATATAACAGATAATGCCCAGCTTTTGGGGTATGTAATATTTTTTCACAAAGAAACAAAAGATGGTGCCCCTGCCATGGTAGGAAACGAGAGAGGAGCTGTGGCATGGCTGAAGGAGGACAACCCTGACCTTATTGCATACCACTGCATCATTCACCAGACTGTCCTGTGTGCCATTCTATCAGAAAAGTTTGCAGAAATAATGGACACAATGATGAAACTTATCAACTTCCTCAGGGTATCCTCATCCCATCGACATCATTTACTAAGAGTTTCATAGAGAAGTTGAGGCAAATGCAAATGACCTTTTACTGCACAGCAGTGTTAGATGGCTGAGTAAAGGCAGTGTATTGGAACGCTTATGGTCCATTCAAACAGAAGTAGCAGCTTTCTTAGTACAACTCAAAAGTCAGAAAACAAAATATTTTTCACTGTTTTTGCAAGATGAGAGCACAATGGATAGTATTGCTTTCCTAGTAGACATAACATCATGCCTTAATGAACTGAATTTAAAGCTGCAGGGCAAGAACAATTCAGTTTGTGATTTGATGACCACTGTCCGCTCCTTCCAGAGAAAGCTGGATTTGTTCAAGGAAGATCTTCAAGGAGAGTTCTTTCATTTTACAAAGGAGAAAGAACAGATTCAAGGAAAGAGATATTTTTTTCCTTTTGTTGACTTCATAAATAAACTGATTGGAAACTTCAGTAAATGGTTTGACAGCTTCAGTCTTGGAAAGCAGCTCCTCCTGTTCATCCACAATCCATTCCTCATTAAAGATATAAGAATGTTTTCAAAGGAGGTGATGCAGACCTTCACATGGGCACATGAGGGATCTCTACAGACCAAAATGATTGATCTGCAAACAAATGTTGCGCTGAGAGAGCACTTTGGAAGAACTGATCCTGCTAACTTCTGGCTACAGACTGTGTCTTAAACTGAATTCCCTCGTCTAACCAAGGTAGCACTACATACCTTGACCATGTTTGGATCTTCGTACAGCTGTGAGTCGGCTTTCTCCACTATGAACATTATTAAAACTAAGTTTCGTTCCAGGCTCACTAATGAGCATCTACAAATGTGCATGAGAATGGAAGAAACTCCATTTAAGCCAAGATTCAAGCTACTGGCAGTTCAATCAAAAGCCCATTTCTCTCACTAGACAGGGAAGGTAGAGGTTTTTGGAAGGGAAAAAAATGAAAGAAAACAGAAGATAATGTGTGCAAGTTCAGACTGACACCTTCAGTTATTTAAGTCAGAAGGTGCTATTTTCTTTTACTTGAAATATGGATGTGCTTTTTATGTTTTATTAAAGAGTTACTTACTTGTTTCCATGTTGTTTCTGCTAAAGATTGTTGATTGTATTCCATATAAAGACATGGCAAATGTAAAGCCATTCTAGTTCCAACTGTCCACATGTTTAATGTCGTAACTGAATCTGAACAATATATATTGTTGAAATTCTATGGAAATTGTACATTTATCATTTTTTATAGACAGACAGTATAGTATTTTTTGCCTTCCTCTGGATCAGCTGTGGGTATACAATTCTGGATATGGAGGTTTTCTATTTTTTTATTTTTTATTAGTTGAACTAGATGGAATTGTGTCTTTTTTCAGTCCACGAATGTAACTATGTCACCAGTTTATGTAAGTGTCGAAATAGCTTAGATAGGTATGGTGGGGATAGAGAAATTGTATCTGGATTTCTGTCTTAGGAAGTATATAAGCATTTATGTAGAATTTATAAAGTTTACTAACAGTCTAAGGCAGGCCATAGATCATGCAATTTTCTTTCCTTCCACCATGGGTGGAAGGAAAGAAAATGATCGGATTCCTCCTTTAGCACAGTCAGTGTTGATGAAGGAATCCCTCCCACAGTGCTATTGTGTTCTGTCGACAGCATGGCCTTCTCTGCCAGCAGAACACAATGATTTATGATGCCGGCTACAGCCAATGGCACTAATCGTATGGGAAAAAACCGGCAGGCTGGTTGTACACAAGTCGATCAATAGATCAACTTATATACAACCAGGGTGCCCATACATGGTTTGAAATTTGTCCAGTTTAGCAGGGACCGAACAAATTTCGATCCATGTATGGCCAGCTTAAGCAATCAGATGGTGGAATTTGAGCAAACAATCTTATTTGTAACAGAAAATACTGACTCTTTCATTCAAATGACTATATCTTATGATCCTGATTTGTTGAGTGTGATATGCAGAAAACCTTTAAATACTGTACATTTTTGTTATTGGTTTTCTGACACTGTTGAAGACATATTATTAGTATCATAATTATGGTAGCGTAAAATATAGTTCTGGTTTCACAATTTGCTCTGATCAGCATTTTTTTTAGAATCAAAGGTGGCAAATTGCTTCAAAATGGCATTAGGAGTAGCACAAAAATGTGTGAGCAATTTGCACTTAGGAATGTCACACCCAAGAGTGTCAGAGGAGGATGAGTGTCATATAGAGCGATGCACAGGGGAGACAGGAGCATGAACTGTGATCTCACATCTCTTGGCTTACTCTCCTGCTGAGCACTACTGATTGCTATAGATCTAAGACAGCAACTTGTAGATGTCTATCTCCATGCTGGGACCTGTGGTTCCATAAAAGCCAGCTGTTTGAATTATATGGTAATATAAAAAATAGGCTTTTAGTCATATAGATGTCTACTTAAAGTGGTTGTAAAGGCTGTTTTTTTCCCTAGAATAAAAAAAGATGTTTTTGCAATGATGTTTCACAGAGCAGCCCCTTACCTCTTCTTCTGGGGTCCCCCGTGGTCTGCTCCTCCCCTCCAGAGTAAGCCCCCATAGCAAGCTGTTTCCTATGGGGCACAGGTGCAGGCTTATCTTATAGGTATATACAGGACCTAAAAGCCTCTTTTCTGCCCCTGTGATTTAGTTTCACTTTATTACATCTGTATGTAGTCATCCTCTGACCACTGCTTTGCTCCCCGTAAGGGAAAATAAAACTGACCACACACTAGCAGACTAGCAAACATACACTAGTAGACAAACATTCAATGAAAATTCACACAGTGCATTCGATGCAAGACAAATGTTGTTTAAAAGTAGTGAAAATGTTTTTAACATTCTATTTTGGAATAAATGGACTTTCCAGAACGATAACTACAAAAATGTTCAAACAAACCTCTACCAGTGTATGGTCAGTTGAAGGTACAGGAAGATTTCTAGATAAAACACCCTTTATCTGTATAAGAGAAGACTTGAAATAACTTGATGTAGTAGTAATCCTGCCCTGCTCTTATTTTTGCAGCAAGAATTCTCTTTTCTTTTGGATGCCAGCTCACTAAGCAAAGCGGAGGAAGATCTTGTAATCAATGTAACCGTGAACTGGTAAGATTTAGAAGCGTAATATAAAACATGCCTAGATATACTGTGTGTGGGCAGATCGTAGAATGCAGAATGTCTTTATAGCTAATGTCTCTTTACATCCTAAGCAACATATATAAGGAAAACACAATATTTAATGGATAAAATAAAACAGAACTTTACCCATAGCAGTTTGATAACACTGTTCTTTAACCACTTGCCCTCCAGAAGATTTACCCCCCTTCCTGACCAGGCCATTTTTTGTAATACGGCGCTGCGTTATTTTAACTGACAATTGCACAGTCATGCAACGCTGTACATAAATAACATTTATGTCCTTTTTTCCCACAAATAGAGCTTTCTCTGTGGTATTTGATCACCTCTGCAGTTTTTATTTTTTGCGCTATAAACAAAAAAAGAACAATTTTGAAAAAAAAAAAAATATATATATAGTTTTGACTTTTTGCTACAAAACATATCCAGTAAAACAATTTAAAAAATCAAATGTCTTTATAAATTTAGATTAAAATGTATTCTGCGACATGTCTTTGCTAAAAAAAAATCCCAATACGTGTAAATTAATTGGTTTATGTGAAAGTGATAACGACTACAAATGGCGGTATATATACTGGAATCTTTATTTTTTATTTATACTAGTAATGGTGGCGATCAGTGACTTGTAGTGAGACTATGGGACTGCGGTGGGCATTTTTACACTAGTGGGAACTAACTGCCACTGACATCCCTAGTAACACTAATAGTGATCAGTGCTAATAAAAAGCACTGACACTGTACTAATGACACTGGGCAGGAAGAGGTTTTACTAGGGAGACATGCTGTGCAGAGAAATACAAAGCTGCATGTTCTTGCTGGCAGGAGAGAGACCTGTGTTGTTTATACATAGGTCTCTCCCCTATCAGCTTTCCCTGACGAAACCTGGTGATTGACATCCCTAGCTGCCAATGGCAGCGCAGGTATGGCAACGCATGTACTCCTTACTCGGAAATGCAAATCACGCGTATATATATATATATATATATATATATATATATATATATGATTTTGCGCAGCCCTGCCGCCCTGTAACATTTATATAAAATATCCACTGCATCTAAACATTTTCAGACGCAGGTGCAGGGTGAATGTGTTTAAAGTGACCCTGTATTTACTGGACAACGCATAAAGAGTAGTGCGTTTTTTCATCCATTGTCCAGTGAGCAGGTTGGAGGCATTGACAAGTGAGTTGTAGAGCAGCAAGACTAGCAGTTCTAAGGCTGCTTTTACTTTGATCCATTTTTTCTTCCGCTTTTGTGTTGAAAAAGCAGAAGAAATATGCATGACCATGAATTCCTATGAAACTCTCCACACTGATCGGTTGCGAATCAGTCTGATCCCTTTTCAAAGTCCCGCTTGGTGCATTTTTGGTGCGGTAAAAAAAAATGCACCAAAACACACCTCCCTATTGAAATCAATGGTAAACACAGCAAAATGCATAAAAATGCAGCACTTGCGGTGCATTTTTGGTGCGGTTTTGAGTCACATGTCATCTTAAAAACGCAAGCGATAACGCTTATGCATTTTTTCCATGGTTCAGTGTGAAAGCAGCCTAAAGCTACTAACTAAAAGTTTGGCAACCTATCATTCAAATAAAAAATAGGCAGTTCTATTAAGAGATTCTAGTTGCCTGGCTGTCTGTTTTCAATGCTGTGGTTACTCACCTGGAGCGAACATGCAGCAAGTAAAGTCAGAATGAAATCAGAGCTCTGCTAACGTTTTCCAAATCAGTGACTCAAAATACTGAAGACAACAGATCAGTTGGATAGCCAAGCAACTAGCATTTTCAGGAACAGGGTTGGGGAATGACAGCTTACATTCTTCTCTCAGTAAAGGCTTATTTTAATTTCTGTATTCAAAACATCCAGACTGGAGGTGAATGGCGTTTTAACATGTACTGTATTAGTGGGCACAAAAAATATATATATATATACTTACTGTGAACAGCGAGGAGATTTCAGACCATGTCAGACTGAATGAACCATCTTTTCAGGACTCAGCAGTGGCCTCTCCTGGAAGGAGTTTTTAGATTTTTTGTATCCTGCCCCCTATCATGCAGAGTTTAGATTCTGGTCTTGGTGTTCTACTCCATACAAACTTTAACCAAAAATCTGTATTAGTCCTGTGGGAACTCGCTTCAAATGGTAGAGCTCTTCTTGTTTAAGCACACAGCAACTCGCTTCTTTAAGGGCTTTTTTGCCCACTTTTATTTAAAGAAAGTTCAAATAACACAAATGCTTCCCACGCAGGGGTATCCACCATCAAGAAATACCAACAAAGATTTAGCCTCCTGGCTTGTACACAGTTCACTGTCTGTCTCCTGCAGACTCTTCCCAAATTATGGCCACTAGCACACAGCTAGTCTGGCTTCCACCTGACTCCAAGGCAGAGACCTCCCGTCTGCCGGGGTGGAGCCCTCCTGACTCCGGCTGCCGGGGTGGAGCCCAGAACCATGGTTAGGCCTCTATAAAAAGGCCTGCACACACCTGTGCACTCAGTGTGCTGGGGGTTCTCAAAACACGGACCCCGGATTGGAGATTTCATCCCTCCCAGATCTCTTTGAAATCTCCAGGCTCCAGATCCCAAAACAAACTTACTGAATAAATGAGGAAACCGAAAAGTCAGTTTCCTCTGCAATACATTAACTCTCTGGAGCCCCTCAACCTGCCTGGTTGAGAATCCAGGGTTTTCAACTTGAGTTTGACTGTGGCAGGACACCGCACTGCCACATATTCCCCCCCTTTGTTTTGACCCCGTAGGGGGCGGAACACACAAACCTAAAACCCTTGCTTTAGCCCTTCTGTGCCGACTATCACCTGTAAAGGTCCAATCCTGGCTGACTTCGTTTTCATCAAAGGGAGACACTACTACTCCCTGCCCCAAGAGGTGACTTCCCCTGTCTCCCCTTACTTGGGCTCTACTACTTCCCCGTGCCTTTTTACGAGTGTGCTTCCAAAAGCGCGGTCTTTCCAGTTTCCTTAAGACTATGCTAGTCCTTTTACCACTAGGGGGTTTACAAATCTCAGTACCCTTTGTAACCTGGGGTGACTCCTAAGCTTTAAATGCCTGGTACCTGTAACATTACAACATGCTCCCTCAAATTCCTCTAGACCATCTCTTTTTGCTTTATTTAATTTTGATGGGGTTATATTTTTAAACCCTTTAGTAATAGAGGTGGGCTCTTTTATTTGGGAATCAAACAGTTTTAAAACATCCCCTTGTTAAGCTTTGGGCCAGTTCCCTTAGACCTTTCATCCTAAAAACTTGGGAGTTTCCTGGACCTTTGGAAATCTTTCCCAAAATTACCTTCCCGATCCTGTAGGGGGCCTAGTGCTAGACTCTTAACTCCCTTGTGTCTGTTAAGCACTCATTACCTCTTTCAGGACGACCAGCTACCATGTCAACCTGACCACCTGGTCTACTATTCTTTTTGTTATCACCCACAGCAATCAGACAATCCAAATTCATCAATACATTTCCCTTTTTATCATTATCAAAAATAGTCTTGTCAGAGCTCATTTCACTAGTAATTGGCAGGGCAGTTTCTGGAGAGGAATCACACACAGTAGAGTGGGTGTCTCCCATGGAAACATCACTACCTATTGACTTCGCTGTCACAAAAGACTCTGCCAGCAACTGTCCTGATGCCAAACCATCCTTACATAATTCTGCATTTGGGTAGATGACCCCAACCACATCACATATACATGTATCTTCTGGCACTTCTGCCCAAACCTCTGTCCTGTCCAGCAGTACTCTGGTGTGCCTCTCATACAGATTACTGCTATGAAGCAACCCAGCAATGCACTGAAAGACAATTTTCACCATTACCAACAAGGATGGTATAACAGAATTCCTATATTGACCATCTTTGTTTTGTATAGCCTGTAATACCAAGCTCTGATTAGCGGGACGCCACTGTACCAGCTCTCCCGAACATGGAAGAGACAGCAAGGTATACACCGGCTGTACACTCCAGAAGGCTAACATTTCCTTCAGCAGGTCTGTTATAAAAAGACAGCCCGATTCCACACATAAGACCTTCCTGGAGACATGGAGACACTCATTTACTGATGCCTCAGAGGTGGTGCTTCTTAAGAGGCTTCCTCTCTTATGGAGGCACCCAATACAATAACCTGGGGCTCTCCCCAGAGCGTAACCAGGTGTGGGGATTCACCCAAATACTCTGAGGCTCAGTGTCAATGAGCTCTTCCACATCTTTCTCTATGGATATCAGTTTGGTATACAACACCATTAACTCCTTTATGGGCTGTGGGCAAAAACCTCTGCTGAGCGTTTATCCTCAATGGTGCCTTTTACAGGCGGTGGGTTAATTTTGGCAGCAACAGGAGCGCCCTGGACTTAATAGCTGCTCCACAGTCCCTCTATTCAACACAGCAGAAACCATGTCCACCCCATTGTTACCCACTGAGGCCTCTTTCATTAAAGCTAACAAGCTTGTTGCCCATCTGTCCCAGTCCATCGTCCCTGTGATCCCATCAGAGGTACTACGCAGTACCACTCCAACCGCTGAAGGAGACACAGAGGGACAGAGTGGCTCTGTATCAGACCCATTACCTATATCTTCATTATCCATAATCACACTGGGAGACTCCTTTTTAGGCACAGCAGGTTGCAATTTCCTACTCTCACTACCGTGACCTAGTGGCGTGTCATTCACTACAAAAACTTTTGCATTAGTGGATTGCATTAACCCATCATCATTATGAATACGTTCATTCCTTTTAGATTCACCAGCAGTGGGTTTCCTAACTGGGGAGTATCCCAAATTTATAGCAGAGAGTCTCAAAGTCAGTCTCAATCATTGCATTAGTATCTCTCACATTTTTCTCAAAAGTACCCGTCTTACCCATCACTTCAACAGGCTTCACCTTCACTTGAGTGCGTGGGATCTGGATCCTGTCTGTCCATCTCCTCTGCTTGGCTTTGGCCAGCCAGTTCATCCATGCAGCTATAGGATGATACTGTGGCAGGCACTTCTGACTCCTTGGCACCCCCTGCAGGCACAACAGGTACTTCCTCACTGTTGCTAGAGGTGGCTACCAAAATTTTTAAACACGAATCTGGGCTTGCAGATGAAGACTTTTGTCCAGTAGCACCCTCATCAGTGGTATTCCATAATCTGGGCAGGTAAAGATACCATGCCCAAACTGACCACATTCCAGGCAGGGTATGGTTCCACAGATAAGCTTCTTGGGATACGGAACCACATCTCCCTTGTAGCCCCTTCTCCTGGTTGGCAGACTTTCTCCTGTTGCTATGGGAGATGGCACTCTCCCAGCTGAACTTTGTGGGTTCCTCCAGATGCGCTGAACTCTCATCTCTGCGTTGCCACAATCCTCTGCAGACGACACTTCTCTCACAGGGTCCACAGGCCTGAAGTCACAGGTGTTGCTATGGGCAACCACATTCTTCTGAAAATTTTGGGCAGCCTGCTGCTCCTTCCTGGAACTCCAAGCAGGCTTCCCAATTGCATACCCAGACCTTTGTCTGGTTGTGTCACCTTGCACTGGAAGCTGGGATAAAGGGCACTTGAAGACAGTGTGCCCCCATTCACTGCACCGCAAACAGCGCTCTTGCGGCAGTATCTTGGCCGAACTTCCAACACTGCATCCTCTTTCAGGCTTAGTACTCTGCACACAGAAAACTGGTTTCCTTTCAGCAGCATTGCCAGGGACAACAGCATGCACTTCCCACTGTGGCAAACTTTGTGCAGCCATGTATGGGGCTTGTTCTGGTGGTAACAACCCCTCCAGCCACAGGGCTCTGTCTCTCATTTCAGAAAATCTTGCTTCTTTTTTGAGTTTTGACCGCCCCATCTTTGCAGTCACTCCACAACACTTTTTGCACAGTCCAGGTACACAATGGAGCACTGTCTCTTTAAGGAAAGTTCCTTTTCTCTGCAGGATATCCTCACCTGCACACACTGATAGTGTAGAGTCATGCACCAAACACAGTTCAACACATGAACTTACTTCCTTGCTGGGATCTCTAGTTCTGCCCACTGCATCCTCCACCATATGTGGGAACTCGCTTCAAATGGTAGAGCTCTTCTTGTTTAAGCACACAGCAACTCGCTTCTTTAAGGCTTTTTTGCCCACTTTTATTTAAAGAAAGTTCAAATAACACAAATGCTTCCCACGCAGGGGTATCCACCATCAAGAAATACCAACAAAGATTTAGCCTCCTGGCTTGTACACAGTTCACTGTCTGTCTCCTGCAGACTCTTCCCAAATTATGGCCACTAGCACACAGCTAGTCTGGCTTCCACCTGACTCCAAGGCAGAGACCTCCCGTCTGCCGGGGTGGAGCCCTCCTGACTCCGGCTGCCGGGGTGGAGCCCAGAACCATGGTTAGGCCTCTATAAAAAGGCCTGCACACACCTGTGCACTCAGTGTGCTGGGGGTTCTCAAAACACGGACCCCGGATTGGAGATTTCATCCCTCCCAGATCTCTTTGAAATCTCCAGGCTCCAGATCCCAAAACAAACTTACTGAATAAATGAGGAAACCGAAAAGTCAGTTTCCTCTGCAATACATTAACTCTCTGGAGCCCCTCAACCTGCCTGGTTGAGAATCCAGGTTTCAACTTGAGTTTGACCGTGGCAGGACACCGCACTGCCACAGTCCCCTTTCATACAAAGGGTCTGATCAGGTCTGCCTGTCAATTTTTCAGGATGGTCCATTTACCTTTGTTGCCGGGGGGTGTAAATAGACTTGTGTCCATTTTATACCCACTTGCCTCCGATCTGAGCTGGTCCACCTAAACAAAAAAAAAATGGAAAAGGATCCGTCCTCCTTCATCTTGGGAGATCGAATTGGAGGGCAGTTGGGTGTAAACAGACAGCGGAGTCCATTTACACCTGGCCACCCATAGAGCAGATTGGGATGTCCTCTCTGCAGCAACTGAGTAGACATGGATGTGTCATCCGTTCTGCTTTGCTCTGATCAGAGGACATATCCCCTGCTGATCAAAATGGCGTCTGTCTGTCCCGTGTGAAAAGGGGTCTTACATTGCAGTGTGATTTTTATATATGTAATCTAATAATGTTTCTTTCTTTAATTAAACCTGCAGTCAAAATGAGGTAAACGAGGACTCGCTATGGAATAATGAAGCCGTTTTCAACATTCCCACAAGATACGAGGTCAATGTCAATGTACTTGGGTGAGTTAAAGCGTTACTTGTTGAAGCAATGTCGAGTGCAGGTCAAAGATACATTTATTTATTTCAGGTACTTATATAGCGCTGTCAATTTACGCAGCGATTTACATATATATTGTACATTCACATCAGTCCCTCACCCTCAAGGGGTGTACAATCTAAGGTCCCTAACTCACATTCATACATACACATATTAGGGCCAATTTAGACAGGATCCAACTAACCTACCAGCATGTCTTTTGTGGGAGGAAACCAGAGTACCCATTGGTTTTCATTGACAATTCACATGTACACGTCTGATAAGGCCGTAAAACATTTACCTGCACATTTCTAAATATAGAAAATTAACCTTTATAAGCCAATGCTATTCATTTGGATGGCCAGCAAGATCACATGAAAATGCAATGGAAACACATTTAACCTATTTGCTGTATTATAAGATATTATACCATGTAATATCCCAGCCACTAACAGATTACATTTATATTGACGACTTTGTACCCATATAACCTTGAATATGTAGATGGAAATGACCGATTAATATATTATAATTAGACATGGAGGAAAGTGAAATACTTCTATTTAGCTAGCAGCCTCAGCATGGTGTTTGTATGTAAATATATCCTTTACCATTTCTTTATGTAAATACAATTACTGCACAATATTTATAGGCATGTGGCTTTTCCAACAGCTTTACTAATTAGGAATGCTGTCACTTCATAAATTCAGACTAACCAGTTTTCTTTATTACTGTAGCTCAGTATCTCCAGTATCATTTGTCTTTGGCCCACCTGATGATGAGAAGATCTTGTGCATCAAGGAAACAATAGATTATACATTCAAAGTATGTATCATATACTGTAAAGGTTTATTTTAATTATGATGTAAATAGACAACATATAGATAACCATAGATACCATACAACCAGTATAAGGTGAAATGTTCACTTTATTAAAAAAAAAATATTTAGCTAGTTTGAAATATTCTAGTATTTCAGCACCATTTCCTAGTAAATTGCATACTCAATCCAGTACTATGACTGGGTGATGGGATGTTACCATCCCATGCAGTTTCTTGATAGGTAATGTTCAGGTGAGTCTGTATTAGTCTGTAGATGCAGCAATTATGGATATCAGATCGTAAACAACCCTTGCTGGTAATCAAAATGTGTGGCCTATATTTGTCCTCAAAATTAATTCACATCTTCATGGATGTCTAAGAAGTACCTAAACTAATTTCTAAACTTGCTCACAAACTACCTTTTTCTACTTCTCCACTAAGTCACTGATGTCTTCTCCACTCATAACCTTATCCTGTACCTGCCTATAGTATTTCTCTGAATGAGCCCCATCCTCTGGGATTTTCTTCCTTGACTACACTAACATATCACCATGTAGCTGACTCTAATTACCCCAAACCCTTGCCTGCTCCCTTGTGTCTATTGTTTCCTTACGTCTTAGATTGCAAATTTGTTACTTTTCCTCCTCCTGTGAAAACTTTTTTGTGTTTTAATGTACAGGACTGAGTAAAAAGAATTTCTTTTATAAATAAAGAAAACCGGTAATTCCCTTTTGCCAACATTATTTCAGATGATTGCAAAATGAGCAAACAGTGTGGCCAGGCAGTGGGGAAAGCAAATAGAATTCTAGGATGCATCACTAGAGGGGTCACCAGCCAGATGAAGGAGGTGCTGATTCCCCTATATAGATCTTTACTTAGATCTCACTTAGAATACTGTGTCCAATTCTGGAGACCTCACTTACAAAAAGATATTGATAAGATAGGACTGCAGAGATGGGTAACAAAAATGGTGAAATGTCTGGGGGATAAAACATATCAAGAGCGACTTCAGAAACCTAACATGTACAGTCTGGAGGAAAGAAGGGAAAGGGGAGACATGATTGAAACCTTTAAATACATCAAGGTTCAGGAGGGCGTATTCAGGAGGGCAGTATTTTCAACATGAAACCAAAATTAAAGAGTAGTTGATGCTTGTAATAAACTTCCAGCAGAGGTAGTGAGCCAGTCAACCGTAAATAGCTTCAAACATGCTTAAGATAAAGATAGATCTATACACAGACAAAAAAGTTAACCAAAAAAAAAACCAACAAAACAAAAACACCCCCCACCAAAAAAAAAAAACCCCCACAAATAATGGGCAGACTCAATGGACCACTCTGCCTTTTTCTGTCATCACTTTTCTGTTTTCTCTTTGAACAGTTTTTTATTCTAGCCAAAGTATTAAAACCATTCTAATGTTTTTTCCTATTTAGGTGATCAATGTTGGACCAAGTATTGTTCCAAATGCTGTATTTGAGATTAGGCTACCCAACACGTTTGCTCCAAGTGACATCAAGCTATTTCATATTTTGGATGTTAAAGTAAGTTATATATCATTATAAAAACAATGCATTAATGATATGTGTGTTGTATGTGCAAGCCATATGAGATCCAAGTGTTTAGGGTTTTACTTAAAGTGGTTCTAACAGCAACACATTTTGTACTGTAATGCATAGGGTAAAAAAATGTCCCACTACTTGCTCCCCCCCTTCCTTCCCTCCCTCCCTCCCTATATACTTACCTGAGTCCTATGGTGAGGCAGTGGTGTGCTCAAGTGCAACTGCTCTCTCTTCATCTCCTCACAACACTCAGAAAGAGCAGTGGGAACCATTGACTCCTGCAACTGCAAATCAAATTCCATGAGGAGGGAGCAGGGCACACACATCCTGGCTCAGGAGCAATCCTGCATGTGCGCCTCCATAGCAAGCAGCTTGCTATGGTGGTGCACGCAGAAGAGCAGGAGCAAAGAGGGTCATTGGGGAACCCCAGAAGAGAAGGTTTGGGGCCTCTTTTTGCAATACCATTGCACAGAGCAGGTAAGTATACAGTGGTTGTTATTTTAAGAAAATAAAAAATAACCTTTACAACCAGTTTCATTATAAAGTTTAATGTACTAAAATAACTCAACTGCATCTTTCTTGCCTTTAGGGCTCCTAAATGATACTCTAGGCAAGTACTGATGGTCTTTTGTTCACAGCAGAACTAGTTCTATCCATGTTTATGGGAAGGTAAAGCAATTTGAAGCAGGTCTATTGAAAGTCAGAATGGATGGACTGCAGGTCAAGTACACCTGTCAATAATTTCTGAAGAGTCTCAAACTGATGACAAAAGCACAATCCCGTTGACACTTGCCTTAAAGCTAGCTGTTTAAGTAGGCCCTCACACTACAAAATTGTTGACAGATGTAAAGGAGATTGTGCAATCAGATGTTAATTTGTATAGCCAGATTAAGGAAATAAGCAAGTCTTGCCTCCGGAATCAATTTAAGCCCAACATCAGCTAAAACGTTTTTTCTTAGTTCTGGATAGCATGAGAAATGATAGAACCCCTGTCAGGGTTTTACTGTGATCAGGAAACTAATTGGAGAGATTTCATCTCACTTTCCCCAAGTGTGTCATGGACCATAATAAATGCATGACGGAAGTATTTGCTTGACCTGAGTATATCCAAAATTAATTAGTGATTGTCAGATTTCACTAAAGCCCAGAATTTGATCAGCAAAAATAAATATATACATACATAAATAAATAAATAAATATTACATTATATTGCCAAATGTATTGGGACACCTGCCTTTACACGCACATGAACTATAATGGCAGTCCTGCCTTAGTCCATAGGGTTCAATATTGAGTTGGCCCACCCTTTGCAGCTATACCAGCTTCAACTCTTCTGGGAAGGCTGTCCACAAGGTTTAGGAGTGGGTCTATGGGAATGTTTGACCATTCTTCCAGAAGCGCATTTGTGAGATCAGGCACTGATGTCGGTCGAGAGCCTGGCTTGCAGTCTCCACTCCAACCCCATAGAACACCTCTGGGATGAATTGAAGTCAGGACTGTGTGCAGGATAGTCAAGTTCCTCCACCCCAGACTCACTCATACATGTCTTTATGGACCTTGCTTTGTGCACTGGTGTGCAGTTATGTTGGAACAGGAAGGGGCCATCCCCAAACTGTTCCCACAAAGTTGGGAGCATGGAATTGTCTAAAATGTCTTGGTATGCAGATACCTTAAGAGTTCCCATCTCTGGAACTAAGGGGCCAACCTCAACCCCTGAAAAACAACCCCACGCCATAATCCCCACCTCTACCAAATTTTACACTTGGCACAATACAGTCAGGCAACTACCGTTTTCCTGGCAACCACCAAACCCAGACACGTCCATCGGACCACACAGAGAAGTGTGATTTGACAATCCAGAGAACACATCTTCACTGCTCTAGCATCCAGTGGCAGCGTGCTTTACACCAGTGTATACGACACTTTACTTGAGTTCATTGAGCTCCTGAGAGCGACCCATTCTTTTAAAAATGTTTGTAGAAGCAGTCTGCATACCTAGGTGCTTGATGTTATACACCTGTGGCCATGGAGATGATTGGAACACCCGAATCCAATGATTTGGAGCGTCGTCCCAATACTTTTGGCAATATAGTGTATTTCTGATACTTACAAAGGAATGTTTCCTAATTTAAGTAAGGTAAATGTATTAAAGGAACGTTAACCACAAGGTGGGCCAACTTTGCCATGTCATTATCATATAGGATATCAAGAGTTGATTGATGGCTCATTCAGATATGACTGTACTCCAGTGAGTAGAATGAACACCATGTATGCTACCAGTACTCTTGTTACTCTGTGTGAATGCAATATAGTGGTGTATCCAACACAAACCAAAGACAATTAATATGTATGGTGCACATGGTGGAAGCAATTGAAGTATGTCAAGGGGTTTGCAAAGTGTTGTGGACATCTGCATCTATTATAAAGAAAAGCTGCCTTTAAGGTGGACAGTTCCACACACAGCCCCTGTGATTGTTAGAAAAGGAGAAGCACTTTGCTGGATTCAGGCAGTGGCTGATAAGTGGCCATAAATTGCTTTGTCAGTATAAACAGTATTGTCCCACTGTTGTATATGGTGGTGACTGAGGTCTCCTTTATAAGACTAAACAGAAGAAAGACAGTTTTTATTGAAGTGGGATAGGTCTTTTTTTCCTTTCTCTGAAACACTGTTGGATAGGCAGTGTTGGATGAAAAAATGAAGGCTCTTAATACTGGCAGTTACATGTTCCTGGTTAGGGGACGGTTTCTGACCACCTAGGTGGCAAAGGTGTCCTCTGGTTGTAGAATGTGCTCATCCTATGGAGAGATTATCCCGCTTTGGTAGTTCTTGAGCTATGGACCAGTGGAGAAGTGTCACTATCGGCTAATTATTACATGCATCTTACCACTCTAGTGATTCATACAAGCACAGGCAGATATCTTTCCAGCCATTGTCCCCAGGGAGGTATCATGTTGTCTACAGCCACCATAAGCTTTCTTTATGAAAATATGTAGTAAATTTGTATCTGATTTCTATGGGGTACAGTGCCTGTTACTGCTGTTTCCAGGGCACAAAATGCTCCCTTTTGTGTATATATTGTGTATTCAGTCATAACATTGTAAAAATAACACAAGTACTGTTTGGTATTTTTAGACTTCTACAGGAAGCTGCTATTATCAAACTGATACAAAGGTCTGTGACATACTACCTACCAACAAAACAATATTTGATGATCTAATTGACTTCTTTTCAAGATCTGGGAAAAGGCATTTGGTAAGTATTGATTTGTAACTCTTGTATTTTGTGTATTTTTAAACCTATTTTTTTAACCTTTATTTACATAAATGTATAAATTGACAGATTATTTGCAAGAATGCCATGATTTGTATTTTTTAACTGTGTATAATAATGCTACAGATACAGTATATTCACTAAGGCCTTCATAAGAGCAATTATAGTGTACAAAGTGCAGTAACCTATGGTTGTCAGTTACATTTTCTCTTTGGTACTTGTTTGCATTTGCACCTATTTTCTGGGCTTATTAAAGAAAGTTATGTTCAATTAGTGTTGGACCAATGCAATAAGAAAGTCTTGGGTAGTGATAATACAAGTCTCTGCCCATTTTCTAGTATTGCTTTAAAGAAGATCCCTCTTGCATACGTATTGCATGCCCATTTGGAGACATGGAAGTTGAACACGAAGTTATTGTGGAAGTGAAGGTGGAAACAAATCATGCCCTTCTAGAAATGGTAGGTAGAAGTGTAACATTTGAAGCTTTATTTTGAAGGGCATTGCCAATTATTCAGAATCTGACAAAGGTACTGTAATATATATTAACCTCCCTGACGGTATTCCCGAGTGTAGCTCGGGGTAACATTTCAGTACCAAAAGCGGTAACCCCGAGCTACACTCGGGAATACCCTGCGGCACTGCTCCGGCAAGTTGTCTTCACTTACCTTACCCTGCGCTCCCACGATGTGTCCCCTGCAGCGTCCCCGGCCATCTCCTCCGGCCGATGCCGGCATCCGGCTTCTGTGTCCTGTCCCTGTGACGTCGGGACGTACGGGCGCCGCCGCCGGCGGGAAATTTAAAAATTTTAAAAAATGTCATTTTTTTTTTTTTACATTTTACACAGTAAAACATTGCTGTTTCAACCTATTTCACATACATATTGTCCCTAGTGCTTTGTCCGGCGCCCTGCCTGCATTTTGTCTATTCTTTCTGCCTGGAAACTGAGAAATGTCCATGGCGTCCAAAAAGTGTCCCTTTAGGTCAAAAGCGGGTTTAGATCAGCTAGAGAACAGCGATAGTAAATCAGAACCACTTTCAGAATTGAGTGATAATGATTCGTGGGGGAAATTCGTCATCAGAAACTGAAAACGATTTTGCGACTGAGCTCAGCAATGTGCGAACTTGGCGCTCTATTTCACATTTCAGTGTTTTTGGTTTGATTATATTATTGAATTAAATTTTTTTATTATTTTTATATTATTTTTATGATTATTTATTAAATTATAATTTATGATTTTGTGTTTCAAATTTTATCATACCCGGGATGTTTTTACTAGACTCTTGTTCGGACAGATTTCAGTGAGTTTTTCCTAAAAATTACAGCCTACAATAAAAAAAATACATATTTCCATGCAAAAAATGGTACCGCTTTCAGCACCAAAAATCTGAAATAATCATACCGCCAGGGAGGTTAACCAGTTGATTGAGAGTGACAGAGTCTAGAAGGGAAGAGCCTAGTATGATGGATTCAAGTCTTGGTGGGGATGTTAGAAGGTATACTGTAGATGGGTGATTTTCAAAAAAATGGTGGGTACAAATTTACAATATGACTTTTATGTGCATGTTTTTATATGCGTTTACTTGAATGAAAATATGTATGACTTATATTTGGAATATTATAGTCTGCTCGAAAAAATAAGGATATCATATTAGAAGTGACAATATTATTATTATTATACAGTGTTTTATATAGCGGCAACAGTTTGCTCAGCGCTGTACTTTACAATGGGAG